AAATCTGTAAGCCAGACCAAAGTCTATAGAGAAAATCTGCAATCGTACTTTTAAATCTGTGCTTAATGCACAGAAAGATAGAGACATAAAAACCACAGTTAAAACAACTGTGGACCCATGTTTCAGTTGTTAAGATTCCACCTTGTAGGAGATGGTTTTAAAAGGAGGCTCTGTGACAGTCTGGGGCAACATCTGTCCTTGATTAGGAGAATCTGAGACTTTTCCATGTAATTTCATGAATTTTCTAGGTTTTCATAGACTTGTGATATGCAAGCATTACCTCATAGAGTTGCAGCAGTAATCTCTCTATCTCCTGTTTATTTCTTTTTTTTTAGGCTGCCATCCAACGTGCATATCTCAGTTGTATCTCAAATGCTATACTACCCAAATTCATTGTTGTTTTTTTATGTTGTTGTTACCACTTTTGAAGAAGCTCGGCAGTGTTAATTCACTTTGTGTGATTTTTAGCGACCCCGCCTGCCCCCTGAAAGAGTGGTTGACTGACAATAGGGTTCACTCCATTAATTCCTCCGTGGAATGAACCACACCTAGGTGTGGAGACCAATGCACAGAGTGAACCCTCTTGTCATCCACCATGTTTAGAGGCCAGAGACATACACTGACATGAAAGTACCTTGAGGCTAGCAAAATGATCAACTTCATTTTCATTTATCGTGTGATTAATGGATTTATTGATTATCGTCCCAAAGCCTACGTGTGATGTCTTGATGATGAACAAGTTACAACTGATTACATCCTATCACTGAGACTGGTCACATTCCAGTTCTTTACTAGGTGTTGTCAAAGTTTCATACTATGATTAGGTCTGTTTGGAAAGAGCTTTTCTCTGTGGACTTTGGTGTAGAAGAGTGAATGGTCAATAAACTCCACAAACCTCAGCATTTATATTTAAAAGAGCGTTTGGTTTCGTTTGACTAGATGTGCTGTGTCAGTGTCTCATACAGACACAGGAAAGCCTGAACTGTGCCTTTACCACTTTTTTCCATTTGTGTCAACAGACCTTATTTATCTTTTTCTTAGTAAGAGTTAAATAAAAACAAATCATGCACAATATTCATAAAAAATGGACATGTAACAATGAGACTGAAAGTCTGTCGCCAAACATCAACTTCACTTGTTTCCATCAAATTTTCAGTTTGTGCCATCTTGTTGTTTGTTTGTTATGCCACTAGGTGTCACTATCTTTGAATATTGCCTCTTGCAAGGTTAATAAGTTAAATAAGGAATAAGGTGGTGGTGAAAATGAACACTGACAGTCTGTAATAAATCAGTCAGTGTAAATAAATGCCTCTTTTGCAGTTGTAAGCTGTGGGGCATATTCAATGTGTAGTATTTTGTGCAGTTGTTAACACAAGTGAATCTTTGGGGGTAAATCGAGTTTCTAGGCTTGTTTTCATTGTCTCCGTTCATGAACTCATAATAACATTCGACCAGTACAGAGAAGTAACCTTGACAGTCAGTGACGGTTGGGTCAGAAGGTTTTGGCTGTTATGCATGTGATTGTTCTCTCAACTTTTCTGACCTTTGTTTGGCCCTAACTCCTATTCATCTGCATTTCAAATTAAAAAACCCTGCAGTGAAGACTTTACATCACACCGTAGACACACCAGCTTATGTACAAAACTAACTCTTTATCTTGACATAAAGAAGAAAAAAAGGGTCAAGTGTATTATTGATTTTGAATTCCAAAGAGTCAAATAAATACTATTTCACATTCATATTGTATTGGAAGTGCCAAACTAGCTAAATATATATCCCCATAAAACAAGAAGTTTACTATAACTTAGGTATCCCATGTGTCCCACAGATTAATAAACAGGTTACGGAGGTAAAATTAAAGTCTGTACCTCACGACCTCTGAGAGTAGCTGAATACACTCTGTTAACACAGTATACATGTGTACGGACTACTTCACTGAATAATAGCTGAAAACCATAGCTAGAGGAAAGCCTGGGGAATTATAATCTGTATGGCACTAAAACTCTGAGGCTTTGTTTGGCTGGTTTAGTCCTGGATGCTTCCCCTGATTGGCTGCTGCTACTGATGCATGTGAGAGGCAGAGCTACCAGTGCTGCAGGCTGCGGTTAGAGGGTGAATGTCCTACCATCAGTGAACTTCTTCATGGTGATCTTCTGGTATCATTGACCAGGAAATCCAGGTCTTCTGTTAAAAAGATTAAATGAGTGACTGTTAGGTCACTTATTTAATCGTTTTAACATCATGAGGATGTTACTGCTGGTCTATTTCAGGGTCTACACTGAGGACCACTGATGGCTCTGTCCACTTCTTATATCTTTTCTCGGGGAAGTGGACCTCCTCTACCTCCCCCTCTTTACTGGGTTATTTTGTTGCAGGAACCATTCACCCCAACAGAGGAACATGTGCTGGTGGTCCGTCTCCTGGTCAAACATCTCCACGCCTTTTCTAACAGTCAGCTGAACACATCCGGCACGACGTCCTCACCTTCATCCCACTCTCACACCCAACACACCAGCCCTTTGGAGGAATTCAAGAGGTATTACTTTTACTCTTTTTCTGCCGTCTTCTGTCCACCCTTTTTATGTCTTTTTTTCTTTTTTATTGAATTTGAACAAGTAATTTAACAGAACAGAAACCAAACAACACAGTAATCCCATACCCATACACCCCTCTCTCGACAGCCATTGAATATAAAAGTACAAAATAAATACACAGTAGCAGTAATGACAATAATACTTAGAAATGACAACAAATGTGTGCAGCCCAAATTGGAGTACCAAAGACAAAAACTGAATTGCTGTGATAATGTGAAATTCCCAAACTATTGTTGTGGAGGCTTTTGAAATGCAATCTCCTTTTAAAAGCAAATCTTTCAATTGTTTAAATATATAATTTAGAAGGGAGACCAAATCTTTAAGAAGTACTCCTCTTTCTCCTTCACGATTGCATGCAGCCTTTGATGGGGTAGGGTATTGAAAATCTCCTTGACTGAAGCGTGATATTGGGTAAATATTCTTTAATCCACTTGTGCAGGATGCATTTTCGGGCTATCAGGAGAAGTTTCTCCAGAAGTTTACAGTGGGTAGAAGGAATATTTAATTCCCTAGAGAGAAGGCCAAGAAGGAAGGAAGACACCTGGATCTTTCTTAATTTTTTTTCCTAATTGGAAAATCTGATTATTTATTTATATATCAGATATAAAATGTCTCAGTAAATAAGCAAAACAATGTTGTTGAGGGGTGTTGAACGTTGCTTCAAGTTGTTGGAGGAACATTAAGATGGCTTTAAATAAGTCACCAATTATGTATATGAAGTCCTGTGTTCCACCAAGAAGAAAACACGGATGGACCTACAGCAGTAGGTTGAATTCAAGGGGAGTGCAAAGATTTCTTTTTTCTCCTTCTAATATGTGTAGTTATATCCTGCCAGATCCTAATACTGTTGTGTATATATAGGATTTATTTTAACAACATAAGGTATTTTTGTTATGTTACAAGTTACCATGCTTCAAAGACAATGTGGAGAACATGCCCATGAATTGATGCAAGTCTCCATCCTGAGATACCGTTATGCTCATAAGTTTGGGACGGGAGTAGATTTTCTAGCAGTCGAGTGAGTAGTTTAATCAGTAGTTTGCTTTAAAACCGGTGTTAGGCTAATTCATCTGTAAGAGCCACAGACGTCAGGTGGTTTAGACTTTTTTTAAGACAACAAAATGGGGCCTTAGTGTATGATGGATATACAGTTGGGCTCATATGTTTATATACCCTGGCAGAATTTATCATTTCTTATAATTTCTTTTCCATTTTTCAGAGAATATGAATGATAACATGGAGAACATGCTCATGAATTGATTTGATTTTTTTTTTGATTTATTATCATTAACTGTGTTTCATCTTTTTGAATCATAATGACAACAGAAACTACACAAATGACCCTCATCAAAAGTTTACATATTCCAGTTTTTAATAGCGTGTATTGCCATCAATGACAGCTTGGAGTCTTTTGTGGTAGTTGTGGATGAGGCTCTTTGTTTTCTCTGACGGTAAAGCTGACCATTCTTTTTGGCAAAAGGCCTTCAGTTCCTCTAAATTCTTGGGCGGTCTTGTATGAACTGCCAGCTAGAGATCTCCCCAGAGTGGCTCAATGATATTGAGGTCAGGAGACTGAGATGGCCACTCCAGAACCTTCACTTTATTCTGCTGTAGCCAATGACAGGTCGACTTGGCTTTATGTTTTGGATTATTATCATATTGTAATATCCAAGTATGTCTTATGTGCAGCTTCCTGGTTGATGAGTGCAAACTTTCCTCTAGTATTTTTTTTTTTTAAAACATGCTGCATTCATCTTGCCATCCATTTTGACCAAGTTTCCTGTGCCTTTTTAGCTCACACATCCCCAA